GCGGACAGTTTCTGACAAATCGTTCATGGGCATACCACGTGATCGAAGGCATCTAGACACTCGATACAAGGATGGGATAGAAGCTTTCTTAGCCTACTCTGACACAAATCCTCTACGGTCGCTAAGCGGGTCGATTTTCTGTCCTTGTAAGAATTGCAGGAACGGTAAAATGCTCGCTAGGAGTGACGTAAGTTTTCATCTGTCAATCAATGGATTTGATAGCTCTTATGTATTTTGGAGTCATCACGGTGAAGGCGTCCCGGTGATGCAATCAGAGGAAGAATTCACTGAAGTCAGCAATCCGACAGTTGACACGACTGATATGTTAGAAGATATTCTTGCAGCGCCGTCGGTGAGCGATGTCAACACTAATGATATGTTTCAAGATGTAGATCGATTGATGAGACTTGTTGAAGAAAATGAGTCACCGTTATACGAGGCTGTTACACATTTTCGCAGGTACCGGGCGACCTCCTAGACGCGGCCGCAATGCTACTAAGGAATCGAACCTCATCCCTGATATCAATCAGAGGGCTGTGATCCGATGGGAAAACGGAGTGCCTGTTGGAGCCTTTGCCAATGCTTTCAACAATTTCCTTGCCGCTTTAGCCAGGAGACACGATTTCTTCAACATATTTTTGACGTGGAAATCACAGCGGATTGATACGCTGGTGGCTTGTTGGAGATATATATGTGTGAGTCATTTATTTTAATTTTCATCATTATTAGTTATTAGTTTATTATTATGTTTAATACACTGATTTGTATCTTACTTTTTTTTTATATGCTGAAGCGATTTTTCTTTCTTGACGATAATATTTGTGCCTGGACGTACTGCTTCGGGCAAATCAATGTATCATTCAAGAGATGGCGGTTTGAGGTAAAGAAAAAATATTTCGTCCAAATAACAGAAGATTGGGAGCGATTCTGGCATCTTGACGAGCGTGTGGATGGAGTAGATTTTTTTGCACTTTGCAGTTACTGGGACACGGATGAAATTCAGGTATTATTTAAGTATATATTTCTAATTTACTGTTTGAATTTTTATATTGTTTCGAATTGACAATGTTTTGCAGGCTCAAGCTGAAATAGCAAGGAGGAATCGCAACGCGCCTCGCAGTTACGAGCATCACGGGGGCTCCAGGACATTCAGCCAGCATTATCATCAATTAGAGCTTGAGGTATATAATATATTAGCTTTTATGTTGAGTATAATTTATGTGTTATAGGTTAATGATATATTTGAATAAAACAGGGAAGGGGAGATCTCAGACATTTTGCAGATCGTATTCTGACTTCCTGGAGCCCGAATTACGCCAATGAAGAGAAGAAAGCAAAGAATAAGGATCTGGCTGTAAGTAGCAGTTCATTTATATATTCAATTTCATATCAATGCATCATTATTAAGTCGACTTGCCCGGGTTGTTTTGATATATCGCAGGAGAAATTACATGCCAAGGTACAGGAGCAATTGACTCAGTCTCAGGTATGTTCTAACACTCCTGCCCGGCTAAGTAGGGAGGATGAGGACTCCATCATCGATACGGTCATTGGACCTAGTAGGAAGAACAGATACTGGTGGAGAGGATCCGAGCAGAGGCCGCATGAGTCTAGTAGCACCTACGAGTCTGCAGCACCACAAGGAACACCGGGAAGCAGTTCATATCAAGACTCGATGGAGCAGCGATTAAAAGCGATTGAAGATTGGCAGTCGCAGCAAACAACATATCAGCGGGCTCTAGAGGAAGAACGGAGGCGCCGGGAGCAGACCGTATTGGAGTTCACACAATTCATGTCGACTCTGCCTCAGGAGGCTCAGGAGGCATATAGGAGACGGTTTTTGTCGTCACAGGTAATATATATACTTTGCTTTTTTTTTAATAAGATGATATCGTACATACTGATACACACTGATACAAACTGTTACACACAAACCCTAACTCTAACCCTAACACAAACATCAAAATATATACTTATAATATTTTTATGTGATGGTGGTGTTGATGGTGTATGCATGCGTAGTGTTGGTGGTATTGGTTGGTGGGTTGGTAGAGAAAATATAAGCTTGGTTAAATCTATTTAAGACAACAATCCAAGGGAGTGATTGAATAACATAATACTCTCCGAATCCATTAAGCCATTACCTTACTCCTGCATTATTTCTAGCTTGGAGTGGCTTTGCACATGCTTTACCTGCTGCTTTTGTCTCTACATTGGCTGGTAATTGCAAGATTAGATATATAGTAAGCTTATGTGGCAGTAATTATGAAATTAAGGGAGGAAGATAGTTTGTACCGGTGAGATGTGAAAGAAATCTTATTCCTTGCGATCGGCTATTGGTGGTCACATTTTCTGCTTTGCTGCTCATATAAATGAAATCAGAACCTATTTGTGATGCTTGAAATAGGGAGAACACGAAATAATATAATCTATAGTCAAAATATTATATCAATGAATTATATGCATAATTTAGACATGATGATATGGACTTCCCAAATAATAATAATAATAACATGTACATCAACAAACACTACAAAAGATCGGTATTATAGCAAATAACATTTCTAAACATACATATACAGGCTGATACTAGTTAGGCTAAAAACTGTTTGAAATGCTAGATCCAAAGTGATACAAAAAACAACACTTGAGAAAATAGTTCGATATCAGATCAAAAATAGTTCGATATCGGGACTTCTTAACGATAATGTTCGTATTAGAGTTCTGAATTCAATAAAAGCAAGACATCGTGGTGTTGTGTTGTTGTGTTGTGATGGTGTAGTGTTGTGTTGTGGTGTTGTGGTGTTGTGTTGTTGTGTTGTAGTATATTTATATTTGTACTCTTATTAACGTTTACACACACTTGTTAACATTTGATTTATATTTACAGGCCGGGACTTCTTCACAAGGTGCAGCCGGGGGTAGTCATAATGTGGCTGGGGTTGAGGATGAGGATGATGGTCAGGAGGATTGATTGTCCTTAACATAACTTTGAAAACAATTTCTTGTGTTGTATAAACAATATTTATTATGTACCTGTCGAGAAACTTTTACTTGCTTTTATTGAATTAAATGTGTGATATATGCGTGAGATGTGATATTTGCGTAAGATTGAAGCTTTCTTCTGCTGATGAAACAGGTTTTTAAAAATTATTATCGATATTGTACAGGGTATTTTCAATTTTCAAAATATTTTCCAAAATTTTTTTTTAAATTTTTAGCGACGGAAAATCCGTTGCTAAAAGTAATTTTAGCTACGGAAATTCCGTCACTAAAGTCATATTTAGCGACGGAAAACATGCACGAAACTACACCTGCACAATTTCCAAAAACAATAGCGACGGAATTTCCGTCGCTAATTTTCTTTAGCGATGGAATTTCCGTCGTTAAAGATATATCAGCGACGGAAATTCCGTCGCTATTGTTTTTTTAGTTTTTTATTTTTGTAAAATGGTGACCAACATTCCGTCGCTAACATACCGTCGCTAACATACCGTCGCTACAATTTAGCGACGGAATGTCCGTCGCCAAAAGTCTTTTTAGGCACCCTTGTAATAGCGTCGAAGTTTTAGCGACGGAATTGTAAAAATTCCGTCGCTAAAACTTTTAGCGACGGAATATGGACTTATAGCGACGGATTATTCCATCGCTAAAAGTTAAAAATCCAGCAGTGTGTAGAAATTATTCTTCGACGGGGCATCTAGAGCAAACCCTCATAGAGCAATCACCGCGGGAGTAGGAGTAGTATTAATCTCTCCGAACGGTCACGTAATCCCAAGAGGATTTTCCCTAATCGAACCCTGCACCAACGATGTAGCCGAGTATAATGCTCTGTTATTAGGAATGCAATTTGCCGAAGAACTTAATATTCAGCACCTCGAAGCTTACGGTGACTCTCAGTTCATCGTTAATCAAGTCCGAGGGGAATACGAAGTACGTCATGAGGATCTGATCCCGTATTACTTCGTAGTGCTAAAGCAAGCTAAGAAGTTCGAAGGTTTCTTTATCGAATACATTCCACGAGCTCAGAATACTTATGCAGACGCTTTAGCCTCTTTGGCAACTTCACTAGCATTGCCACCAAGGGCTTAAACAATGATTCCAGTCACAGGACGCGAGCTATACTGTTACAAAATTCCTATAGAGGAAAACCCAGACAAGACAACAACAGGAGAAGTCTGTACAACCTCTATGGAGTTCGAATCTAAGGATTGGAGATTTCCATATATTGACTACGTCCTATACGGAATCCTACCCGATGACCCTAAGGAAGCGGCCTCTATCAAACGAAAAGCCCTCCGATTCTATTACGATGCAGTCTCTCAAATCCTGTATCGTAAATTATATGGTGGAGTTTCTCTTAGATGCCTCTCTCGGAAGGAAACAAAAGAGACCCTCAAGGAAGCTCACGACGGAATATGCGGAGCTCATCAGCCCGGAGCTAAATTAGGAGATCGCCTCCGACGAATCGGCTATTATTGGCCAAAAATGTTCTCAGACGCAGTTGACTACGCTAAACGTTGTCACGCGTGCCTGATTCATGGGGACTTCATCCACCAAGCACCTAGGAACTTACACCCTACATCGGCGTCCTGGCCATTCGAAATGTGGGGTATGGATATCGTAGGACCGATTTATCCTCCGACGTCCAAGGGACACCGGTTCATTTTAGCCGTGACCGACTATTTCTCCAAATGGGCGGAGGTAATCCCGTTGAAAGAAGTCAAGACTTCAAATGTAATTAAGTTTATCAAATATCACGTCATCTACCGTTTTGGAGTCCCGAGACGAATAGTTCACGACAATGGGACACAATTCGTTAGTTTTGGGTTTCAGGGATTTTGTGATAAATTCAGAATCCAAAATGTCGCATCTACGGCGTATTATCCACCAGCAAATGGTCTTGCAGAAGCTTTTAACAAAACCATTGTGAAACTTCTTAAAAAATTCGTTTCTAAGAGCCGATGTAATTAGGACGAAAGACTCGGTAAATGTTTGTGGGCCTATCGCACAACGGTGAGGACCCCTATAAGAGCTACGCCGTTCTCCTTAGTATACGGTTGTGAAGCTGTACTGCCACTTGAGATTCAAATCCCTTCCCTGAGAGTCGCAATTACAACGGGACTAACAGAAGAAGAAAAACATCAACGACGTCTGCAAGAACTTGAAGCCTTGGACGACAAACGACTTCAAGCTCAACAACAGATTGAGTTGTATCAAGCTCAGATTTCCAAAGCCTACAACAAAAAGGTTAAAGAGTGGATTTTCAAGAAAGACGACTTAGTTTTGGCCAACAGACGACCCATGGTAATGACACACAAAACCAAAGGGAAGTTTAATCCTAAATGGGAGGGGCCCTTCGTAATAGAATCAGTTTATTCGAATGGAGCGTATCGCCTTATCAATCAAAAAGGAAACAGGCTCATGATGCCAATTAACGGGAAGTTCCTTAAGAGATACTTTCCATAAATCATGTAGCCCACTTCTTTCCCTTGCAAATTCCAGTCGAGTCAAACTGGGGGTTGTCGATTCGTAGTGTATTGCAAGAATAAATGTTTAGTTTTTCTGTTTTGTATGTTGTCATGTTAACATTACACCTCTGACGACTAAAATTTTCTGGAATTATTCTATGTAGTAATAAAGAGAGTTTTGATTTTACACTACACTTACAACATTCGCATTACTTTTCATTGTCCCGAAATAGAATTCGACAAAAGAGATGATGAAAAGCAAAATGATATCGTTTTCATTCAACATTGTTAACTTGAATACAAAGTGACGATGAGCAAAATAAAAATGATACAAAATTCCTTAGCAAAAAAAAAGGAAGGGGTACGAAATCTAAACATCAGGCTTCATCAACTTAAGAAATTTTAGCCTGGACTTGAAGGTGGAGAGTTTCTTCTCATGAGCCGCCCTGACTTGTTCTTCAATCTCTCTTCTGAAGCCTGGACTTGAAGGTGGAGAGTTTCTTCTCATGAGCCGCCCTGACTTGTTCTTCAATCTCTCTTCTGAGTTTTGCTTCAACGGGGGCAGCGGCAACAATCATGAGCCGCCCTGACTTGTTCTTCAATCTCTCTTCTGAGTTTTGCTTCAACGGGGGCAGCGGCAACA